AAAGCAACCCCTGCCTGTGGTAGGCCCCCAGGACTAGAGCTGCTCCAGCCCCTACCAGTTAACGATTCACAGCCCTAGTTTGGGCCCATGTCTAGATTCTAGGTGAGCAGAAAGTTGGGTTTTTACAAAGGGTGGTGGTAGTTTGTTTGTGTTAAGAAGTCTGGATAAATTGTGTACTAGTTATTTTAAATAAAACCTCGAATATAGGATTAAATGTTAAAAGCCAGAACTGAAACATTAATTTATTTTTCCCAATTGACCCCAATGTTGTTGTAACTCCGGTGATGGGTTATTCATGTGTACCTTCAGACTTGTGGGGGGGAGGGGAGGACCCAAGAATCACTTCTTTCGTATAATTACACTCGAAACATTCAAGCTGTGTGGTTGATAATGCTAGCATGCAAGTAGTCAAAACTTAGCTCTGATTAGCATCCACTTAAGATGAATGGTGGAAGTTTATGCCTTAGGTTCTTTTATGTCAACCTGTCTGACAGCCCTCTCAACAAAACAATGTGTTGATTTATGTACTAAAAAGAAAGTTGCTAGGTCTCCATTTCCAAGAGCAAGACCATTTTTCACTAGACGCAGGTGGCTATGCTTTGGGTTGTCTTGTAGCTGTTGATAGTCTCCAAAGTCTGCTTCTGTGACACTGTTTACCATAACATTGAATCTCATGTCATCCATAGTACCTGTAAAGCAGGAAAGCTTAAATATATGATGAATGCTGGGAATTAAGTGGCCAACATGTAGTACAAAAAAATCAAAATGCCTCATGTAAGGAGAGTTAAATGTGGACAAAGGGTCTTAGTGTGGGGGGGAATTAAAATCCATACCTTTGGGGAAATGCATCATAATTGGAAAATTATACCTCTGAGGTACATAAGAATTATATAATGGGATTAAGAGAGGAAAATGAGTGTTTAAAGACACAAAACATAGGAAATCAGTATGTTTGTGATAAGTGGAGATGCAACTGCCGAATGTATACTGACAGCTGTAAAGATGTAGGAACAGGCAGAGCGGGGACATCATTCGGTGGTGCT